ATCGTTCTCCTTACGTTGCGTAAATGGGGTGCGCATTCGCGAGCTTTCAGATCATGCCAGTGACAGCCGTTTATCATGATAGTCAACTGAGTCTTTACGCTCTCGCACATTTTTCACGAGAACCTGTCGGGGAGTTAAACAGAAGCTGAATTATAAGGAATTTTAATCGTTCCATTCACAACCTGCTCATCACCAGCTGTTTTGATAAAAACAGAGCACTTTAGAGACAACTTCCTTTGAAATGGATCCGACAAAGCAAAGGGAGATCGGAATCGCCATTTCTGGCTTGTTAGCCGTCATCAGCCAGTCATACCTAATCTCAAGAGTTGGAACCCACTTCCTTTCTTAAGCTATGGCAAAGGGCGACTACTTTTCTCCGCCGACCCCAAATTTTCGCGAGCGATTCCATACGGCAAAAAGGTCTCGGAGGCTGTCGGCCTTGCTCGCGCTATTTGCAGTTGGAGTCGTACACAGGCCGGCGGCAACCATATGGTGTCAGATAATGAAACAAAAAAGCCTGCCACAGCAAGAAACATCTGGAGTCGTCTATAGGATCTGGTGCAGTTGCGCACAAAGTGACTACGTCGAAGAAACTGAAAGACTTCTCTAGACGTGAATTACCGAACACGCGGCAGCAGTGCGGAGAAATGACGTTCATTCGACGAGACCCGGCCACACATTCAAATTTGGTGAGGCCGAAATTCCCGCGAAAGGTGACAATCGTGTGAGTCGCGAGTTACTTGAGTCGTGGCTCTCGGGCCCTCAGTCTGTGAACAGGTGCAATGGCCTGCCCAATTCATATTCAGTGCTGAGACTCAGTTTGGCCGACGTAATTCGCCACTCAGAGAACGCACAGGCCAATGCGTCGTCTAACGCCGACGCCAAAGGCAATCAAGCAATTAGCGCACAAGTGGAAAGCTATTCTCGATAGAGGGGAAGGAGGGGGACGTTAATTGTTATAAGTATGCAGTAGCATAGTGACTGTATCCTATAAGTACTGCGACTCCCTGTGTATGAATTTCCCGTTTCGGCTAGTGTTTGATGATAAATCTGCGATGGATTTCGAAACGTCGGGCGAATAAACTTCCTGCCCTAGCGATTGAATCTACTTTTTTCCGCTTACTTCCTGGGACTCGCATCTTTGATTGAGCACGCTCGTTTCGTCCCTCTCGGTACTTCTTGCGCATTATTAATCACCTGCCAAGGCTCAAAGTGGAATACTCCTATCGAAGCGATGGAGCACCCTATTAGCAATCGAAGTTGCATGGAGATCGCAAATAGCTACTTTTCTGAGTTCCTGCCGAACCAGCTTAACCGCGCATTTCCTGTGTGACTACATTTCAGGAACCTTAGACGTGCCTAGAACCAATCATATGATAACCTTGGAAGGATCCAATAGTGGGATTACGGCCCGCGTTTCATTGCTATCAGGGTTGATGTTTCGCAATCGCTGCGCTATCACTGGTCCCTCCCCAGCCTTCTTGGTCGTTGGTCGGAGTGGGCGGGGTTATTCTGTGGCAACCTTAAGACAGCCTCGTAAGAACTTCGTACTAGAAAGGGTCCTCATTTTGGAACAGGGTCTTCAATTTCGGCTGTTAACGTTATCGTAAGTCAGTAATTCCATTTCGATAATGTCATATTTTTGGAATACAGTTGTGAATCGTATCAGGCCACATCTCAATAGCACCATCTTGGGAATTTTTTGGAGAACATTGAATATTAGTTAAGGTACCTGGATAATCGTGTTTTCTCAACAGTTTCCCAAGTCCTGCAAAAATATTGTCCGCGATTTTTTATTATTTCCGTCTTAGGCTTTTGTACGCATTTACTTTCCCGGATCTTTCATCGTTGGTTGTGAATCGGTAACAGGAAAGTGTTTCCTTCTAAAAACCTGGTTTTAGCTAGCCTTTATTCCTTCCTTCCCGAGTTCATTTTGGAAGTTGGCCTCTGATCGAGATTACTTGTGCGTGTAACTTACCAATAGTTTTCTTCCTGGTTGCTTTCTCCATATGCAGCACGTCAGAAGGTCGTTCGAAGGACTTGTCGAGAACCATCATCGTCCCCACTTAAATCTCATGTTGGCGGGCCTTGTCAATGTGATGCAAAAATTGGCGACGGTAAGAGGTAAGCCCTCCAGTTCCTATAGATACTACCTGTCGTCTGTCGCCCATTATGACCGACTACATAACGATACACGATTTATTTTAATTTATTTATTGTAATTTTCACGAGCCTCTCTGTTCGATAGATGCCAAATTCCTGTCGCGAATCCAGAGTGCAATTGCTAACTCCACCGCCATGCGGAACTGGCTACAATCTACTGGCCGATGGACTGATATAAGCGCCTACGCAAAATCAGAGTTGCTAAATGATCGAGTGACCCTAAACTCCGTCAACCTCACCCTTGTCCTCCATCAGAGATCACTGAAGCTCTATGAGTTCAACGTAAATGTGCGGAGGATGCTGAACAAGGAACTGGGTATCCACAATTTGTTATTGAATAAGGCTCAAACTGCGAACGAAGACCAGACATTGGCGGTAGGTGAGGGTAAGGACGAAGATGAGTCATCGGAGAGTGACGAGATTGATGAGGCCGTCATCGAGCAGGCGCTATCGGAGGACAGTAGTATGCCCGCGGACAGCACCGCCATGGAGAAAGAGCTCGAAGGTATTCAGAGTGCTCTACGGTCGCCGCAGGTGAAGGCGACACTAGAAAAAATGTCTCAATCCTCAAAAAACGTCCTCGTGATGAAGGCGGATGTGCAACCGATGGACGGTGGAATGCTTGCAATTCTCGTTAAGGTTAGTTCCCAGTGCACTAAAAGCTGCTGTTGTGCCACTCTCCTGTACTCAATTATCTGACAGTTTGGCATTCCGTTTTAAGGCCTCTTACCTTTAAAAACTGTCAGATTACAGATTGAACTGCTAAGGCATGGATGACTTAGGCACCAGCCGTTTTGGTCCTATTCGTGTCTTCTTCTGCTGGTCAAAATCACAGGATGCAAATGGAAAAAGGGCGCTCACCGATCTGCTTAGGGGAATTTATGTATGGTTGTGCCCTGGAGCTCACTATAAGGCTCTCACGTGCAGTGGCGTAGCAATTAGTAGAATATACTGAAGAGGAACTGACAAAGACACTGGAGACCGGAATGGCTATTCCCAATTCCAGGGGTGGCTACACCCGAGATTCAAACCCGGGGCTCTGGTCATGCAGTACAACATGACGGGCTTGTTGCTTTATCGATTGTGCTCGCGAATATGATGGAAGTAGGCTGCTCACCGATCTGGTTAAGAATGCATGCACGTTCCCTTTTTGCCCTGGAACCCACTTTAGAGCCTTCGCAGACATTCACATAGTGGCTTATAGATTATGATGATAAGGTGGATGACAGCTAATAAGCCAGAAATGGCCATTCCGGTTTCCCTTGTCTTTGTCGGTTCCACCTTAGCATCATATGCTACATGTCGCTATGCGACTGCCTTCATTCAGATAGGAAGGCAAATAAGCCCTAAACAGTTCTGTATCAAGTTACCCCCAAACGCTCTCATCTCTCTCTCTCT